GACTAAACGTGCAAGAGCAGGCTCACAGTGGTTCCTACAGATGATGTCTGGTCTGTTTCACTATAGAAATGCATCAGAGACCATCACTTAGAAACACGCAAAGCTTCTTGGAGGGTGCTCCATGCAGCAGCAACTTTGACCTGGAAATTCTTGACCTTTGCGTCAGAACTAAGAGCCCAAAGGCACAGTGGTCAATGGGTCTACCTATCAACAACCAATCCTGCTGCTTTATATGTTCTTAAATACCCCATTTTTCAATTTGCCATCTTAATTACAAATACTATCTAAAAGATTTAGTAGGCCTGCAAAGCAGAAGTCATATACTTAAACACTTTCAAAGTATAGTATACATAAATTTAGAGAGATTTTCAAACACTAGATAGCAAATTCTGATGAGGAGAGTTCGTGTGATAAACACGACCAGCTTTAAACACAATTTTAGCTTCCAATGCAAAGCTTCTGTTTGGCTTTAGAAGCTGATTTCTACTATTTCAGTTTTTCTACAAGTCCATGTTTCACAATCAGGAGGTCTCTCTCCTCTGAAAGTTTCCCTCCCTGCCATTAGACAATTGTGTGTGTGTGTCCTTCTTTGTCTCTTTTGATTGATTGTTGTTTGACGTCTATTTTGTTATACATTAGGATAAATTTTTCTTATGAATATATTGTATTATGTACCAAACTGATTTTTCTATCTCAACTCTTGACGTTTAGTAGTAATACACATTGAATTAATGAACCAATAAGATGAATAAGTAGAAATATCCATGTATCTAAATTCTTCACTTTTCAACTGAAAGACTTGTATTCTTGTATCTGACCAACAAGAGAAATCTCAAAACTGAACATTTATGCCCCAAATACAAGGCTACCCTCATATGTAAAAGAAACACTACTAAAGCTTAAATGTCACATTAAATCCCACACACTAATAGGGGGAGACTTCAACACCCCACTCTCACCACTGGACAGGTCTGCCACATAGGAAATTAACAGAGAAATAAGGGAACTAACAGATGTTATGACTCAAATGGTCTTAACAGATGTCTACAGAACATTCCACCCAAACATAAAAGAATATACCTTCTTTTCAGCACCTAATGGAACCTTCTCAAAAATTGATCACATACTAGGTAACAAAGCAAACCTCCACAGATACGAAAAAAATTGTAATAACCCCATGTATCCTATCAGATCACATGGCTTAAAATTAGAATTCAATAGCAACACTAACTTCAGAAAACCCACAAACACATGGAGATTAAATAATGCTTACCTGAATCACCAATGTGTCAAGGAAGAGATTAAAGACTTCCTAAAATTCAATAAAAATGACCACACAACATACTCAAATTTATGAAACACAATGAAAACAATGTTAAAAGGGAAGTTCATTGCACTAAATGCCTACATAAAGACGCTGCAAAAATCCTACACTAGCGAGTTAACAGAACACCTGAAAACTCTAGAACAAAAAGAAGCAAACTTACCCAGGAGAAGTAGACAGCAGGAAATAATCAATTTCAGAGTTGAAATCAACAAAATAGAAACAAAGAAAATAATACAAAGAAACAATGAAACAAAGAGTTGGTTCTTTGAGAAAATCAACAAAATAAAAAAAAAAAAACCTTTATCCAAACTAACCAAAAGGCAGAGAGAGAATATCCAAATTAACAAAATCAGAAAAAAAATGGGGGACATAATGACATGGAGAAAGTCCAGAGAATCACTAAATCGTATTTCAAAACACTGTACTCCACAAAACTGGAAAACTTAAAGGAAATGGACAATTTTCTGGATAAATATCACTTATCAAAATTAAATCAAGACCGGATAAGCAAATTAAATAGACCTATAACTGCTAAAGAAATAGAAACAGTCATCAAAAGTCTCCCAACCATAAAAAGCACAGGACCAGATGGTTTCAGCTCAGAATTCTACAAGATTTTCAAAGAACTAATACCAATACTCCTCAAATTGTTCCACACAATAGAAACAAAAGGAACATTGCCAAACTCTTTTCATGAGGCTACAATTACCCTGATACCCAAACTACACAAAGACATTACTAAGAAAGAATTACAAACAAATCTCACTCATGAACAACAATACAAAAATAGTCAATAAAATACTGGCAAACCAAATCCAAGAACACATCAGAAAAATCATTTGCCATGATCAAGTCAGCTTCATCCCAGAGATGCAGAGATGGTTCAACATACAAAAATCTGTCAGTGTAATCCACCACATAAACAAACTGAAAGAAAAAAAAACAGATGATGATCTCATTAGATGTTGAAAAAGCTTTTGACAAAATACAACATCCCTTCATGATGTAGGTCTTGAAGAGAGCAGGGATAAAAGGAACATACCTAAACATAATAAAGACATAGTTAAGGCAAGGTACAGCAAGCCAACAGCTAACATCAAACTAAATAGAGAGAAACTCAAAACGATCCCACTGAAATCAGGAATAAGACAAGGTTGTCCAATCTCTCCATATCTATTCAATATAATACTTGAAGTTCTAGCTAGAGCAATAAGACAACAAAAGAAGATCAAGGGGATATAAATCAGAAAAGAAGTCAAACTCTCACTATTTGTTGATGATATGATAGTTTACATGAGTGACCCCAAAAATTCTACCAAGGACTTCTACAACTCATAAACACCTTCAGTAATATAAGAGAATACAAGATTAACTCGAAAAAATCAGACGATACACAGATCCTCCTTTACACAGATGATAAATGGGCTGAGAAAGAAATCAGAGAAACACCACCCTTCACAACAACCACAAAAAACATAAAATATCTTGGAATAACTCTAACCAAACAAGTGGAAGACCTATATGACAAGAACTTTAAATCTTTGTAGAAAAAATTGAAAAAGACATCAGAAAATGGAAAGATCTCCCATGCTCTTCCATAGGTAGAATCAAAAATGGCAATCTTATCAAAAGTGATCTACAGATTCAATGCAATGCCCATCAAAATCCCAGAAAAATTCTTCACAGACCTCGAAAGAATAATTCTCAACTTCATATGGAAAAATATAAAACCCAGGATAGCCAAAACTATCCTGTATAATAAAGAAACTTCTGGAGGCATCACAACCCCTAACTTCAAACTCTGCTACAGTACTGAAAACAGCCTGGTATTGGAATAAAACAAACAGGCATAAATCCATACCCCTAAGAATACCTAATTTTTGACAAAGAAGCAAAAAATGTAAAATGGCAAAAAGAAAGCATATTCAACGAATGGTGCTGACATAACTGGATATCAACATGTAGAAGAATGAAAATAGATCCATACTTATCACCATGCACAAAACTAAAGTCCAAATGGATCAAAACCTCAACATAAAGAAGCCAGCCACACTGAACATGATAGAAGAGAAAGCGGTACAAGAAGAAGTACACTTGAATGCACTGGCACAGAAGACTGCTTCCTAAATATAATCCCAGTAGCACAGACACTGAGAGAAACAATTAATAAATGGGACCCCCTGAAACTGGAAAGCTTTTTTAAAGCAAAGGATATAATCAACAAGACAAAACATTAGCCTACAGAATAGGCTCCACATCGGACAGAGGGCTGATCTCCAAATTATACAAAAAACTCAAGAAATTGATCATCAAAAGAACAAATAATGCAATTAAAAATTGGGGTATAGACCTAAACAGAGAACTCTCAACAGATGAATCTAAAATGGCTTTTAGACACTTAAGGAAATGCTCAACATCCTTATCCACCAGAGAAATGCAAAACAAAACAACTCTGAGATTCTATCTTATATCTGTAAGAATGGCCAAGATTAAGAAAAAAAACATGATGACAACTTATGCTGGGTTAAAGGGAACACTCCTTCATTGCTGCTGGGAATGCAAACTGGTACAGCTGCTTTGGAAATCACTATGGTGATTTCTCATAAAATTAGGAAACAACCTTCCTCAAGACCCAGCAATACCACTTTTGGCTATATACCCAAAGAATTCTCAACAAGGACATGTGCTCAACTATGTTCATAGCAGCATTTGTCATAGTTTGAACCTAGAAACAACCTAAATGCCCTTTGACCGAAGAATGGATGAAGATGTGGTACATTTATACACTGGAGTACTACACAGCGGAAAAAAATAATTATATCTTGAAATTTGTGGGTAAATGGATGGATCTAGAAAACATCATAGTGAGTGAGGTAACCCAGACCCAGAAAGTCAAATATAATATGCAATCACTCACAAGTGGCTTTTAGACATAAAGCAAAGAAAAACCAGCCTGCAATTCCCAATCCCAGAGAACCTAGACAACAATGAGGACTCTAAGAGAGACATACATAGATCTAATCTACATGAGAAGTAGAAAAAGACAAAATTTACTAAGTAGATAGGGACTGTGGGGATCATGGGAGAGAGTAGAAGGAGAGGAGGGAGAGACGGAGGGAGGGAGGGAGGGAGGGAGGGAGGGAGGCAGAGAAGGAAGGAGGCAGAGAGGGAGGGAGGCAGAGAGGGGAGAAAATATATAGTTCAATAAAAACAATTTTAAAAAAGAAAAGAAAAATTATCCATAACTTAAAAAATTAAGAACTTCTAGCATATTCTCTCAAAACTAGGGCATTGTTTAATCCTATCTGAGCATCATTTAATTCTCTAGGAGAGTGTGTCCATGTCGGTGCTGTTTGCTGTTATTAAAGGATCCGAGCCTATGAAGTTACCCGTTAACCAATAGATCTATGCGCCACTGGTGTGCAGAGGTCAGGAGTGCCGAGAAACACTGGAAAAGAACTCTCCTGCGGTATTTCTCTGGCCCAAAAAGTCAATAGTACTTGTATTGAGAAACTGCTCCAAAAGATCAAAGCCCCGGGCTTGGAAAATGGGGAGGCCTTTGTTCAGTGTGGTAGAGAGCAGCTTTGGTGGTTTCTGCGGGGGAGGGGTGTCAGCCAGGAAAGGCTGGGAGAGACCAATTTTCTAGTTTCAAAAGTTAACGATGTTAAACAAAGTTATTGCTTAAGGGGGAAGGCTTAAGTGGAAATTTTGATCACTTCTGATAACAAAATACTTAAATATATTTGAATCAAATGAAAATTCCAGTTTTCATTTAGAAGTATAATGTCTTCCACACAGCAATCTGAGCCATTGTAGCATGGTACGATTTTAGAATTTCGGCATTTTAAATGGGAATAAAAGTGATTATGCTTTATAACTGTAAACATTTAGCAAAGGAAAAGAATAAAGTATCTTAACATCTTCATCAAGTTTCAAAGCTAAATGTGTAATCGAAATCTTTTATGTGACTGTATTGTGGCTTGCTTAGTAAAGCCTTGCTGTATTTCTATGTTAATATCCAAATTATCCACGCTAGTTTATTGACCGTATTCCATTATTGAATAAGACACTTATTGTCTTCCTGCTCTAGGAGTGACGGACAGCTCTCCACTATGTACAGCAGAAAAGTTTGCCCTGGCTGCTCCAGCTGGGGAAATGAAAAGCTTACCACAAACGATGGGGTCAATGTGAAGCCATTACTATCAGAACTGCCTTGCTTTTATTTTTAAGGAGGACTGAAGGCTGTTTTGTTGCATGAGAGAAAGTTGAAGCACCCTCCGGCTCAATGAGATTCTTTGCTGGACACCCGGCAGAGCCTGTGACTGGCACCAGGAAGACTTCTTCCGCAATGGCTGGTAAGTAGTTGCCACAGACAGAGTGCAGTTGTCTTTTCCTCGGCCACAGGACAACCTCCAGCTCCTGACACACCACCTTATGTTTTTTGCAAACTGGGATCAGCCAAGGCCATTGCACACAGATAAGTGATTTCCTGACGTCAGTACTCAGTTAGAACGCAGCAAAAACCATGCTGGATGTTATCTCATAGATTATAAAAGATTTCATGAGTTTGTTTAGGAAACTAATCATCACTCAGGGCATAATCTTCATAACTTATGTCTCCTGCTGTAAACAAACAAACTGTAGTTGTATTGGGTTGGGATGCAGACTTCCTGCTGAAATTGTTGCACTACTAGGTTTCAGTTTTCATTATTTTCTAGATTCACGTCTCTGGATGTGAGTCCAAATATGCATATTAATTATAATGATAGAAATGACATTTTATAAATTAAAGTTTTTAATTTTATTATTTAAAAAGCACTGGAAAACGATTACACAACTGAAATCAACCAGACCTGAAGTCTGTACATCTCTGAACTTCTACACAGTTAGGACTGTCCTTCTGAAGCTGTGGCACTCAACATGGGCCTTTGCTGTTTTGCTGCCAAACATGTGTTTATGAACTTATCCACCACTACCAACAAAACCACCATGACAGAACTGGAGAAACAATTAGCTTTATATCCTTTCTCATAACTCACGTCCTTTACCTGTATTCAGTCCTTTGCATCCCTGATATTTAATCTCTCTTGTTCCCTTTACTGCTTGTTATATTGTATGTCGTTAAAACAGAAAGCTTGAGCAACGGTTGACTAATGAGTCTCTATTTTAACCTTATTGATCTGTTCTACCAATAGATTAATATTACAAAGTGCTCTTTTAGTTTTTCCCCATCTCCTGAACCTTTGAGGGATATCTGCTCCTAAAGGGAAGTCACTTTTCTTTGCATAAACTGAGGAAAGGAGAGCCACAAAACCTGTGGGGCCCAGCATCCTGAAGCAGAATATCAAGCAGCCTCCTCACTAGTCAAGGCTTAATAAAAAGAAATCTTTTGGCTGGGTGGTGGTGGTACACGCCTTTAATCCCAGCACTCGGAAGGCAGAGGCCAGCCTGGTCTACAAGAGCTAGTTCCAGGACAGGCTCTAAAAAACTCTACAGAGAAACACTGTCTCGGAAAAAAAAAAATCTTTTGTTCTACTTATTGGGTAAACATTTCATTAGTTTCATTTACATGTAGTATTAGCATCATTTTTCCTGATGATTATTCAACTGTATTTCATTCTAGACAGATGATGAAACTGACCTTGGCTTATCAAGGATGTCCTTCAACATGATCTCTCAGGCTGAAAGAACAGAGGGGGCTGAGCTACTCTCCTAGGATCTATTTCATTCTCCTTTAGAGCGCTCTGAATCCATGTAAGGATAGGACTTGTACACTCTTCTTCAGTTTGTGAAGAAACTTCATGGAGTAACCTAGAAAAACTCAGGTCAGTCACCGGGTAAGGTTAGCATCAATCCAGCCAGGTTCATGGCTTTCTGGGAATACTTTTGTTTTTAATTGAATGAAAGCATTTTTTCCATGTGGAACTAATTGAGCAAGAACCATAGAACAGTAATCCATATGATATACTGATGTCAGTTACAGGATTAAAACTTTGTCATTTCAGTTGTTTCAGAAAATAAAACTAAGGTAAAACCTCAGAAACAAAACCATAAGCCACCGACTATATGAACTATATAATCTATAAACCACTACTATAGGAAGAACTAGAAATTTTGTAAATGGTTTTCCCACCAATGTATATATTTTCAAAGAAGTGTTTCAAAAATATTTTCAAAAATAAATAAATAAATAAGTGCATGCTGTGCCAGACCCTGGGAACAAAGGTGAGCGCTGCCTTCCGTGTCTGGAGGATGTGCACAGTGTGGGAACACAATGGCCACTGGCAAGCAGTAGTTACGTGCTAGGCACAGAGGGATGCTGAAAGACAGCAGAAGGTGTCTTCTGTTCCCTTAAACTCTTCATCCTTTCACGGGAGTTTCAATGCAGGAATGAATCCTCAGGGACAAGGAGAATGTGTCTCAGGGGAAAGAGATTAAAGTCCATTGATCTGCTTTACACGAGTGGCAAGGAACAAGGTGCTCCAGTATGAAAAGCACACCGCTTATGGAGAGATGATGGGGTGGTTTGTCTACAGAGGACACTGGCTGGTGGGAGAAGAGCGGGCACACCAGCAGAGAATGTTAGGAGGAGCACCGGCAGAGTAGGTGGAGACACGTTAGGAAGAGAATGAAACACTCATGCCAAGTGACCAGACTGTGCCGCACTGACGGTGATGGGTGGCAGCAGCTATGGCATTCAGAGTGTGTTGGTTTTTCTTCAGATGCTTGTTTAAAAATCAAACCGTCCTAGAAGGCATGGAGGAAGTTACTTCTTCTTATTGTTATCCTTAACATTGTCTTTCTCATTTTGATATTTAAATGTAACTGTCAGATTAATAGTTATTATCTATGAGCTTCTACATCTTAGACAGTTTTAACTGCTTTACGGACTAAATCAAAGGCATTGCAGGCTAGTGGGATCAGGCTTTAGGAACACAGGCTAGTTTAGTTGCAGTATCCCAGTTCAGAAAGGATCAAGCTAGCACCCTACCCCAGCCCCACCATCCTCTTCTAGCTGACTTGGTAAATCTCAACCCACAGCCCTCGATTTTATAAAGCCTAGTTTCAGCTGTGTACCAGGATGCAGCCATGAACTCAATGGTTCCTGGGAAAGTTTTTTGTGTTTTTGAGAGTAAAGTTTCTCTTGTATCCACATCTTCTTAAAGAAGAAACAACGCCCTGTAAGACAGGTGTACATCGTATCATAGTATGGTTAAATGAGGCAATTAGCGTTAGATTGCAATATCTCTACAAACGACAATGGGGTAAAAGTAGTTCTTAACTGCTCTGGATCCGAAGGGTAAAGTATTAATCTGTTCTATACTTTTTAAAAAAGTGTGTGTGTGTGTGTGTGTGTGTGTGTGTGTGTGTGTAAAATCAGCCCTGATTCTTTGTACAGCAGGAGTGCATCCATTTTTAATTCTCTTTAGTACGTGGTGGGGACTTTAATAATTAAGACTATCCTCAATAAGCAAACGTTTAAGCCAATCACGTTCCAAGTGAGAGGGACTTGTGAGCTGTTCTTAAAAAGTCAGACAGAATTATTATACGAACTGCAGAATGAGATGCTAGCCAAAACCTTCAATCTAAGAAGACGGGTTTCCGAACTAAAGGCAACTCAGAAGCAGTGGGGAGACGAAGCGGCTAGTAATTTCGATCATTAAAAAGAGCAATGTGAGTTGAAGAAAGGAAGACCGAGAAATTAGTGCAAGGTGTGATGTCTGCGTCCGACTGACGGAAGGTTCAAACTCTGCCAAAAAGGAGGATTAGCTAAGGGCGCTCTGAGGACATTTAAGTGATCGGTGGCAGAGATGGGCCAGGGCACACGCAGGGTGGAGGCGGACAGCGGCCTCCGAGCCGGCCTGCGGGACGCACCGGGAGGCTCAGCTTTCCCCGGGCGGTGAAAAGCAGGAGGGGAGCCCGAGGCTGAGAAGCGCCGGCGGGAGGAGGCGGGAGCCCCGGGCCGCTAGCGGCTCCTCCCCCGGCGCCTCTGCTATTTGGGTCAGACGCGAAGGCCGCGCCGCCGGACCTTGGGACACGCGGGCTCCGGGGCTCCAGTCGGCTGTCCCTTCCCGCTCGTTCGCCCGCGGGCCCCGGTTCCTCCGGCTCCGGCCAGAGAAGCCCTCGTTGCGAACCCAGGTGAGTAACAGCCGGGGAGGGGGCGACGAGCCCGGATGGCTCCGTCGGCCCGGGGGCGTGTGGAAGAAGGCGGCGGCACTTCCGGCGGCGGCTCCACTTCCGGGTCGTGGCCAGACGCCTGCTGACCCGGCAGCGGCGGACTGTCCTGGCGCGGTGCTGGCGGGGCCGGTGTCGCAGAGGGCTGTCAGCGTGACCCCTGGGCTGGGCGACCACACGAGCGGGTACCGCGCCCCTGCACCTGCCGCAGCCTCGCCCAGCCGTCGTGTCCTTGCGTGCTTCGTGTCCTCGTGCTAAAAAAATTTGGAGGCTCTGCCTATTTTATGCAAACATGGAAACCAGACTAAACCGCACTACTAGCATTTGCAAATAAACTGAATTCTAAGGGGTCACAAATTTATGTTATAGATAAGGCAAGACTTGAATTTCAATTGGAAAGTACTGACTTTTCGGCATCGCTGTACACAGTCTGGCTAACCTTATTCCCCCCCACCAAGGGGTCAGAACGTTCTCTTTGGAAACCTGCAGCTGATTTGTAACCTATAGTGTTTCTTGACCCTCTTGGTAAAGTTTTTCCTTCCTCGGGTTTTTATGGGTTACAGCATTTTATGTCCTCCCCCAATCCCAAGGACCAGCTGATGACGGGTGTGAATGCTACTTAGGACCTCACCGTACACATTCTTGTTAGATTGAGAACATAATTTTAGTATGAACACTAGACCAGCACCGTGAGGTTTTCCTTTTCAAGGAGGCATTCCTGGAAGTTAATATTCCACCGTTTCACTCTCACTGTTCCAGTAGGCGATCTAGTTCTCGGCTAGTAACCATTGATCGTGTGCCATACTAATACCAATGTCGCTCACTTTCCATCATAAGTGATTTAAAACTAGGAGTTTGTAATTCTCTTTTGCATCTGAAATGCAAATTCCGTGGGTTAAAATGAGGTGTAAGGTCTGCTCAATCAATTTTGATTGTTTAATCCATACTTAGTATAGGAATATACTACTATAAGCAAAAATACAAAAACAATACAATTTTATGTTACCTTCTAAGTTATACCGTAGGCAAGCATGGATTCTTATTGACAACTTTGGCACTTCTCCCTCTCGTCAGCATCATTTTCAGACTATTGGTCCAAAAACACACACTGATGTATTTCTTGCTTGGACCTCACTATTTTTGTTCAGTGTTATTTTTCAAATTATTGACACAGAAGCAC